TCAAAAATTGCGAAAAAGTGAGTGTCAAAATTGCTGGAAAGTGACGTTGGAATAGAAGTAAAAATTACGCAAAAATGAGGTTGGAAATGTTGGAATTAGGCAATCCAACGACCTGTCCAAATGGCGTCTGGTTGGCAAACAATAAACAAAACACATATGTTTTTTTTTGGCAGGATTAAGCCTAGTACTCATAATTTGCTCTTTTTTGACATTGCATCGACAATTTGACGTTGAAAAAAGAGCGAATTTCGCTTTTATGAGTACCAGGCTTTATCAATACACGGGACGAGTTCTCAAATCTGACACTTTTCTGACATCGTTGACATGTAAAAAACCCGTATTCTAACCTCATAAAAATTTCAAAATGCCGGCTGGTTGGCAAAAGTCACGTGGTTTGGATTCCCTAATTGCGAAAAAGTTGAGTAAAAATGGCGGAAAAGCAAGGTTATAATCGAGAAAAAAATGAGGTTATAAATACGAAAAACAAAAGTAAAGATTATGGAAAAATTAGGTTGAAATTGCGGCAATGTGAGGCGAAAATCGCGGAAAAGTGAGCTTATACTTATTGAAAAATGAGGAAAGAATAACGGAAAAGTGAGGCAAAATTCGCGGAAAATTTTGTTGAAATTGCGGAAAAGTGAAGATTAAATTGCGAAAAAAAATTGTTGAAAGCCGTTATTTCTCAAATAAATTTCCTTATTTTTATAATTTTTCCTTAGTTTTTGCAATTTTCGCAAAACTCCTAATTTTCGTAATTCCCATAACTTTTTTCCTAATTTTCTTAATTTTTCGTAACTTTCCAAAATTCCCGTAATTTTTGAATAATTCCTGTTGTTTCTCAGATTTTCGTAGTTTTTTAATTTCTGTAATTTCTCAAAATATTCAGTTACCTACTTATTTTAAAATTCCCCCTAAGTTTTTGTTACTTTCAAAAATTCGTAATTCTCGTAATTTTCAAAAATTTTTTTATTGTGAATTTTCATTATTTCCGTAATTTCTCAGATAATTCTTCCTATTTCTATAATTCTTCCTTAGTCATTGCAATTCTTGGAAAACTCGTAATTTTCGTAATTCCCGTAACTTTTTTCATAAATCCCGTAAGTTACCAAAAATTATCGTAATTTTTTCGCAATTCTCGTGATTTTTCCTTATCTCTTCCAATCTTTATATTTCCTGTAGTTCCTCAAATTTTCGTAATTTTGTAATTCCCGTAATTTCTCAAAAAGAACTCCGTTATCTTTATAATTCCCCCCCAGTTTGTTGTGATTCTCAAAAGTTGGTAATTCCCGTATTTTTTTTTTTCTTGGAATTTTCGAAAATTCTTAAATTCCCGTAATTTTTCAAAAAATTCTCGTTAATTTCATAATTCCCCCTTAGTTTTTGCAATTTTCGGAAAATTCGTGAATCCTGTAACTTTTTGTAATTCTTGTTATTTTCGTAATTTTTTTGAAAATTGTCACAATTTTTTTAATTCTCGTGATTTTTTTCGTATTTTTCATAATTTTTGAATAATTCCTGTAGTTTTCAGATTTCCGTAATTTTTAATTCCTGTAATTTCTCAGAAAACTCCGTTATTTTCATAATTTTGAAATTATATAAGTCTCGTAATTTTCGTATTTTATTTTGGGAATTTTCGAAATCTTGTAATTCCTGTCATTTCTCAGATAATTCTCGTTATTTTCATAATACCCCCTTAGTTTTTACAATTTTCGAAAAACTCGAAATTTTCGTAATTCCCATTACATATTTTCGTAATTTTTTAATTTCCGTAATTTCTCAAAAAAATTTCGTTAGTTTTATAATTTTCTTTAAGTTTTTGAAATTTTCGAAAATTGGTAATTTCCGTATTTTTTTTTTGGGGATTTTCGAAATTTTTTAATTCGTGTCATTTCTGAGATAATTCTTGTTATTTTCTAATTCCCCGTTATTTTTTTTCAATTTTTGGAAAACTTGGTAATTTTCGTTATTCCCGCAATTTTTCGCGCCTTTTTCCTAGTAATTATTTTAATTTTCAATTTTCCTAATTTCCAAAAAAATTCGGAATTTTCTAATTCTCCCTAAGTTATTGTAATTTTCGTAATTTAAAAAAATTGTGATTTCCGTTATTTTGGGAATTACCGTAATTCACGTAATTTTGAAATGACTTTGTAATTCTTTTCCGTAATATTTCGTAATTCCCGTAATTTGTCTTGTTAGTTTTCGTAACTTTTCAAAAATTAGTAATATTTAAATAATTGACGTAATTTTGGAGTGACTTCGTAATTCTTTTGCGTAATATTGGCAATTCCCATAATTTTTGTAATTTCCGCAATTTTTTGTTATTCCGTGATTCTCGTAATGTTCCTAATTCTCGTAAATGTTTGCAACTCTCTCTAATTTTTTTATATTTTACGTACTTTAGCGTAATTCCCGTAATTTTTCGTAACTTTTCAAAAATTATCGTTATTTTCGTAATTTTGAAATGAGGAAAAATGAGGATAAAATCGTGGAAAGTGATGATAAAAATCACAAAAAAAAGAGTCAAAAATCGCAAGAAATATATGAGTCAAAAAATTTCAAAAAGAGTGAATTTAAACTCGCGGAAAAGTAAGATGAGACTCACGGAAAAATGAGGATAAAGTACCGAGAAATCAAAAGTATCTCATTTTCAAATCATTCAACTATTTATGTTATGGTTCAGTTTGATGTTTCTCCCAAAGTGTCAAAGCAGCTATGTTATAAAAATATCCCGAAGGAGGTATTTACATAGAACATTTTGGAATGGCACAAATAAATAGAGGAATATTTAAAACAGAAGAAAAATCAAGATATTTTTCAAAAATCACAAAAAAAATGAGGTCAAATTAGCGGAAAAGTGGAGATAAAATCGCGGAAAGTAGGGGAACAATCGCGGGAAAATGAGGATGAAATAGCAGAAAAATAAGTTCGTAATCGCCGAGGAGTGAGAGCCAAAAATCGCAAAAAAGTGAAAACAAAATTGCAAAAAAGTGGGTCAAAAATCACAAAAAAAATGAGTCAAAAATTTCAAAAAAAGTGAGTGTGAATTTGTGAAAAAGTGAGATAAGAATCGCGAAAAAATGAGGTAATATTTGCGGAAAAGTGGGTTTACAATCGCGGAAAAGTGATAGTAAAATCTAAGATTTCTAAATTATGACGTCATCAAATTGGATTTTTCAATGAATAATAAATTGGAAGCATCTTTCCTACATAAAATTATTGAATTTGACATTTATCAAAAGATCCAAACAACTAGCACCTTGTTTTACAGGTAATGAAAAAAGAGAAGATTGCATCGATCCCTTGAAAAATATAGATGAGGCGGCCAATCGGGCTACCTCAGTTGTTCCAATTTTACCATTAATATCAATGTAAATAACTAAAAATACAAACATTTTTGACGTTCGCTCTCAAAATTTGATGTTCCATTTTTAACACTAGTGCTATAAAGACTTTATGGCACTAGTGCGATAAAGTAACATTTTTAATGCTACGGGGGGTGTTAAAAATTGCATTTTTGACACGTTTGTAGAAAAAGTTTTTTTTTTTTAAAGATAAAAGTCAAAATGACATTAAGTTGGCAATGCAATGTAAAATTGTCAATGCTTTCAAATTTTTTATGTAGAAAAGGCTTGTGTTGCCAACATAGTTATTGAATTTTTGACTTGGGGAATTATCTTTAAAAAAAAAAACATACTTTAACTTTCCCCAGAAAAGTGTGCAAAATTTGAAAATAGGCATGCGAAATTGTGCAAATTTAGGTGAATAGGAATTTTTCAAGTTTTAGACAAACAAGGGGGAACGGTCAAATTTGTCCCTAGTTTAAAAAAATGCTCTAGTTTTCGTTGTGTTGTGTGCAAAATTATTATGGTTTAGGTATTTATTTTTGAAATTTGTTTAATACAGCCGGAAACTTGACCGACCCCAAAATTTTCTTGTTGGTAAATAAACCGATCTACTGGAAAATAAATAAATAATTCATAATTCGAAATTAAACATAAATTTCTAAGTGGCAAATTTGCCAAATATACTGAAAAAAAAAACCTAAAGAAAATGATAGAATAGCATCCATCTATGATATTCGTTGGTAAATTATCAAATATGTTAGAAAATATATGCTTAACTTCCTAATTCCTTTTGGCACGCGTCTGTCTCCCTATGCACGCAAAGCAAATATTTCACTTTAATAACTTCATTCAGAGAAGCAGACACGGATGCTGGCTCGCTGGCTGGACGCTGAATCAACAGCACTGACAACTCGGCAACAGTGGGCAATAGACTCCAGCCAGCGTCCACATCGGCAAAAACCGGCGTCCATCGAGGTATCAAAAATCAGAATACGGACGAGACTTCTAGAGACGTTAGTCTATAATATTCTTTGATTGTAGTCCCCACTGGGATACGAATCGCTGAAAATTTCAGCTTTCTATAGATTGAATATTATCATTTTGAAATCAAATATAGTACACTCAAATCTTTAATGTGGAATTCCTATTCAAGGAAGTATTTTCCAGCTTGAAGTCATAATTATTAATCGTCAATCCACGATAAAAAGAAATTATAGAGTATTTATTCAAGTGATTTTTATCACAGAATTTTTCCAAGTTGTTGATACTGTTTGAATGGTTTCACAGTCTAAAATATGAAACTCCTTTTTGATTTTTTTTTTTTTTTAATTTGATCATTTGGTAATTATGTTAAGGGTTTTTTCGCCCCAATTCAACCAGCCCTGTATATCTCTTATAATTATCGAAATACACATACTTAGTTGCGAATTTGTAACACCCTATATATTATATTAGCTTAACATGATTATACTACTCGTAACGTTTCCTAATTCTCTGTTTCTTTTGCACTTATATTGAATACATTTATTATACCTAGAGTTTTGTTTTTACTTCGTAGGAGTTATTTATAAAGTTTTTGATGTTCTTACAATTTGAAAGTTGTAGTACTTTTATTTCTGATTTAATGCAAAATTTCTTTTGCTCCATCTATTCCAGTTTGCCGACTATTTCCGAAACATGTTCGTCGAAACCCTGCGAGAATTCGCCGAAAGAGGCTCCCTCGAATCCTTAGTTGCCAGCCAAAAATTAGAACTACAACAGATGAAGTACCAGCACCAAGTGGACATGATGGAATTCGAAAAGAACGTGGCAACAGTACTAAAAGACGTACAAAAAAGCATTGCGGACGATCGCGAAAAGATGTTAGAAGAAGCCCGAAAACAGTGGGCTATTGAAACTACGCGACAAGTTGAAGAGGCCAGAAAGGAATCAAAATCCAAACAATGGTAATTGTCAATAATAATGTTACTTTGAATAATGAAATTCCAATTTAGGTGCGCTAATTGTTTCAAAGAAGCCCAACTGTACTGTTGCTGGAACACAAGCTACTGCGATTATCCTTGCCAACAGAAACATTGGCCTTCACATATGAGCAAGTGCTCGCAAAACACAAATCAAGCTACGACATCGGCCGGAGTCACTTTACGGCCCGGACCCAATCAGATATTTTTGCGACCCAGCTTGAATGCGCCTCCAAAAGGTAGCAATGTAGGGGTAAGTTTTGAATTATCAAATTCTTTATACAAATAATTGTTTTAATTTGTAGAGAGTAATTGCCGCTAAACCTATGCAAAAGATCTTCTTGAATCGCAGTTCTTTGGCTGCAAAACAAAAAACATTGAAAGTACAGGTGAGTTTTATTTTTGTTTGTTTCAACCAGCATTTTTATGAACAATTATTAGACCTCTGCGGGCAGTTTACTTCGAGTAAAGGAAACAACTCCTGGGACTTATCAGCTAGTAACAACCGCTCCAGTTTTGAAGCCTTCATCTGTCATTTCTAGTGTCAATACTGTCAAACAACCGAATAATGTTTTGTCTTTAACGGCGGCGCCTACTGTTGTACAACAGTCGTCGCCCATTATTACACAGTCGATGCCTAAAACGATCAGGCTGGTGGCGTCCAGTGAGGAGTTGAATGAATAATGTGATAATAGATTTTGTATATTTAATGACTGATTGGAAAAGCAGTTTTTTCTTTTGCATGATTAGTAATTTTTTTGGCCCATCAAAATTATCACAGTTACTGATAACTGTCTACCAATCTCTAATCCTATTGGTTTGCAGATAACTGGTTGATCAATAGGATTATAAAATAAACTGGGCCTTAGTTTACTTCTCAAAAAATTGATTTCTTTAGATTTAGATACCCATATCCAACTGATGTATATATACGTATATTTTGAAGGTCTTACATTTCAAAAGAAGGCTGTTTAACTCTAGTAACTAAGATTTAATTTGAAAAATTTACATGAAGCTTTTTAGTGTTTTGTTTATTTTTTATCTTATTATTGGTTTTCTTTTTTATACAGGGTGATCGAAATTGGCTCACCCTATATATTTATTATCCAGACTATTGTAGTAATTAATAGTGTATATAAAAAAGTTGTTTTTTTTTTGGGGGGGTATTTTTGCTTTATGTGCATTACGTATTATTTTTTTTTTACTTACAAATAATGAGAAATAGAGTTTTTCTTTCACTAACTCTGAGTTTTTTTAGTCCATTTTAAAAAGAAAACTTTATATTATAAATGTATGTCCTAAACGTCTCAACTTTTGAGATACAGGGTGATGAAATTTTCAAAAATAAATATTTCATTATTAATATCTGTAACACCAGTTTAAAATATTTTGAGGAAATTTTGCATCCATATACAGGGTGTCCCATTTTCGATATTTTAATGGGCTATATCGAAAACCAGTAGATATCAAAAATCTGAGAGCACATTCTCTAGAATCTAGTGGCAAGACCAATTTTTTTTCCAGATGTCACCGATTTTGGTACAGGATGCAAAAGTTAACAAGCACTTTAAAGGACTACTAGTTCCTGAGATATAGCCGGTTACCTTCTTAGGTAAAACACCCAGTACAAGGTGTTTATAACTTGACACCTAATATGTACACGTAATGTACAATACAAAGATTTTATAGAACGCACTTTCTTCTTTTTTCCCCTGTATATCCGTTGCTATTCCTAGTTCAAAGAAGTTGATGTCAGATTTTTTGTAGGACCTTGATTGCGCATTTTAATCCACCCTGTGGCCTGTATCTTCAATAATTTCCAAAATTCCCATGAACTTCAAGTTTTTCTAGACACCCTGTATAAATTTAAACTATGATATACAGGGTGTCCGGATATCCAAATTAATTCACAATTTTACATATTTAACTTTTTCAAATTATCAAAACTTTTTTCCATCGATTGGAGAATTAATTTTTTTATTACTTACATTGATGCACTTGCGGTGTCACATTATGCGTTTTCAATGCTGCGACAAAAAGGGATGCGTTTTGACTGAATGAACTCATACATGTCACACTATCCCAACAGAATCCGTTTGTGTGTGACAGCTCTCATTTAATACACTTGCTGTCTTCTTCTCTCATATCGAAATCAATAGAGACAAAATAGTCAATAATAGAAATAGAGATAGATATTCGGAAAAGAGTCCCAGCCCTGATACGTTGAATAGTTGTGTCGTTTTTTTTTGAAAAAAATAGAAAATAAAAGTAAAACTTTGACATCCTGTATTTTGAAAATTAGGCACTTTAAGGCTGCAGTGGCCCAATTCTTGAAAAATATCGCATACGAAATTTGATTCGAATTTGACTGACAGTAATGTTAATTAAATGGGAAGTGTTCGAAATCATTTCAAATTTCGTATGCGATATTTTTCAAGAATTGGGGTCCACAGGTTCCTAACTCAAATTTCATGAGAAGTCTGTCACCTATCAAGCATTGTCAATCGAATATTTGCACATCCTGTATACGTTTTTGTTTTTTGAAGATTTCTTTAAAGCCGAATTAAATCTTTAATCTTCCCTCGAGGCTGCCTTATTGGGCATTGTTAATTTAGACTGGATACTTTTTGACCAGTTTATCATATCAATGTCAATTCTAAACCTCCGCTTCCTTGAAGCTTAGTTCATATAAAATCTGTTTTTTTTTTTAATGATAATTCCCCAAGTCAAAAATTTAGTAACTTTGTTGGCAACATAAGCCTTTTCTACATGAAAAATTTGATAGCATTGACAATTTTACATTGTATTGCCAACCTAATGTCAGTTTGACTTTTATCGCACTTTACTTGCGAAAAGTGAATAATGATTTTATTGGTGGTTGATTTTAAATATGTCAAGCGGTGGGAAGCCAATTCAACCAATAAAATCATTATTTGCTTTTCGCAATTGGCAAATATAGCATATAAACCAAGCTCAAGATCAAAGGCAACCTTAAGGAGCGACTATGGTAAAGTTTTAGTAAGCGCTTGGATCTGCTGTATTGTTTTTTATTCTTGTTCTTCTCATCAAAAGGAAAAAAAATGGAAGATGATCCAAGCGCTTAGTGTTACAAGATGAACTCGCGGTATAAATTAGAGCCTTGTATTGTTCGCCGATTTTTAACTGACACTTTCCACATGAGGAGCGAGGGGGTCTTTCATATGGCAAAAACAGGTGTGAGGTGTGACGTCAGGTAACCATTGGCGTTCTAATGTAGGAACCAATGACCTATTAACACAGATAGACAGAACATCCCATTGATAAAATAACTTTGTTTTGGTTGACTACATGTTTATGGGCCAGGGGGGTGAGCTGTGTGAGGCAACTCTGAAAATGAAACCAGAATCAGTGCTACAAAAGTGTATCTTTATCCTTATATTTTACATAATTTTAGAAAAAGATGCGGATACACTCACTGCGCACTGATTGACAAATGGAAATTGTCATAAAATACCTGCAGGTCGCATTTTGACATGACAATTGAATAGAAGCCGCTGATTGGTGGAATTCGAGGTGGGTTTTATTTTTTTGCAGCGTTGCTAATTTTCATTGAAAATTAATCGCTTTCCACGTGTTAGAGAAAGATACAAAATAACACAAGGATTAATAAGTAGTGGGGAGAGATGCGGTTCCTGGCATGATGTAGTCAACCGATATTATTGTTTATTGTTCTATCTGTGTTAATAGGTCATTGGTAGGAACCCACCAGCTCACATTCCGTCCGAGTATCAGATTAAAATCGACGGACAATAGGACCGGTTTATCAATGGACGGTTATCTAGTTCACCTGTCAGTTAACCAATGATGATAATTATTAAAGTCTGTTTTTTTTTTAAAGATAAAAGTCAAAATGACATTATGTTGGCAATACAATGTAAAATTGTCAATGCTTTAAAATTTTTATGTAGAAAAGGCTTGTGTTGCCAACATAGTTACTAAATTTTTGACTTGGGGAACACACATTAGGTAACAGCTAAACTAAATTAGATGAGCGTCCACTGATAAACTGGGTCCTTTAATGCTTGTTGAAACTAATATATTTATCTTTTTCTTAAGACTTCTAGAGACACATATATGTATTAGGCAATTGTGACGTCACGATCAGCAGCTTATAGTGATGACGTCATCCGCAGACCTCGATAGAATGCTTGCGATTTAGGCTGTGCTAGCGAGTTAATTTTTTCGTCAATTTTAAATGTAGAAAAGATGATTTTTGGTCTGTTCTCACAGAAGAAATTAAGTGTTCTTGATCCTCGAGTATCCTAGAATTTGATAGTGGGGGAGTTAGGGGAGTATGACACATCACATAATCCAGCAATAGATTATGCCTGGTTATCCTCGCCAAAAATTGCCTATTGAGAAAAGTTTGGTAACATGAACATAAATATTTAACTTCATTGTACAGGTAGCACCCATTTATAGGTACCTATCCTTTATTCTCCTATTATGTAGTGAAAGACGAAAATAGTTTCTAGCTAGTGAGTTTTGTGATACAAACGAGTAGGTACAATAATTTTTCACGTGTGGAATGATTTACTAACGAAAAATTCGACATCCTTGCATTTTTCAAAAAGTGACGTCACTTTCCCTGGAGTTTAAACATTCGAATTTCGAATATTCAATTGAATATTTCTGTTGTTTCAAAGAATCTTATAGCGAATTCTGTTGGAAAGGACAGTGCGCACTAAGTGTATTCTTTATTTTTTTCTACCAGCTTGTATATAAGTAAGAGATAAAAATACATTTTTTACGTAACGTCAACATTACATGCCATTTGAATCTAATTGACCTTTTCAATGAAGCGTCTCTCTCTGGCATCAAACTGTCAGACGCCAAAAAAGCATGAAAACAATGGTTGACAGCCGTTGACAGTGGTTTTTAGACAAGACTTTTAAAAGAAACTATTATTTCCTCATTTTTTTCAAGGTTTTTTCTTAACAATGGTGATTGTGTGTAGTGTGCCTATTCATAAAAATAATTCCTATTCATCAAATTTTACCGATGGATCCATTATTCTATGTCGGTTATTGTCATTTTCCATTCACTTAACAAAGATAGCTAACTCATCGGTGAAGTCACCGATTCGAATAAAAACGAGGGGATTGCTAACACATTGACATTGACAAGCAAGCAAATGTTGGCGGGAAAATGAATGTTTTCATACTTATCGTCCATCTCTTTTAATTGAAAACGTCAATTTAAAGCCGGTATCTCAACAGCAGGAGTGCGTTTAGAAATGGAGTGTGAAGGTAAGCAGTTATTTGTTAGTGTTCTGATGTCATCACTTAAAGTGCACTCTGGGTGCGCTATTTCTGAACGTATTGGGGCGTTGCGGTGAATGTCAATGTCACGTCAAACCTGGTAAAAACCAATGTAAAAAACCGCAAAGCGTAATTCAACCCAGTCATTGAGGGGGGTAATTTGGGCGTACTCTGGGGCCTTATTCTGTAAGAACAAACCGTTCGATTCGGTAAAATTTCTTCGATTGTGACGTCATTTTTGGTGTGGTTTTCGCGCTACCAAACCGAAAATGACGTCACAATCGAAGAAATTCTACCGAATCGAACGGTTCGTTCCTTACAGAATAAGGCCCCTGGGCATGTCAACTCTCGATTTATAAACGATTCTAGCGTAAAGCCTAGTACTCATAACCGCGAAATTCGCTCTTTTTTGACATTGCTTCGACAATTTGATGTTTGATTCACGCATAAAACGTCAAATTGTCGAAGCAATGTCAAAAAAGAGCGAATTTCGCTATTATGAGTACTAGGCTTAACGCTTCGTGTAACCACCTGTTAATTTATTAACGGCTTTGAGTTACTCTAGGGTCACTCTTACACCCGGAGTGCTATTTCTAAACGCAACCCAGCAGTTCACCCCTGGATAACTCCAAGGTAAACATAGCAACTGGATACGCTTACCTTGGAGTTGAAACCAACCCGGAGATGACTTGCTATTGAAAAACCGGCTCTTAGAATTGTGATAAAGACTTGCAGTACACTTTCAAAATGGAAACTGAGCGTATTTTAGAACAAGTAGAATTTGTTCATCCGATAGAATAGAACAATAGAACAAAAAATGCAGTACAAAAAATGTAGTTCAGAAAATGTAAAGCATCTAAAATAGAACAAAAAGTGTAGTATACAATCTAAACCAATTTGAATTGTGGTAAAGAGAGTCAAAACTTTTAAATTCTGGTTCTGAGTTAAATACCTAAAGCCAGCAAACTCAGAACTCTTCGAACTTATAGTTTCAAATAAATCGTTATAGAACTTATTTAGAGTCATTCCGGAATTGATTCTCATTGAACAAAGAGAATGGCACTTTCAACTTCCTTGCACTCGCTCTAAGTAGCTTAATAGTGCAGTAGTACTGTAAAAAAGAATGATTTCGAACTGACCTTAAAATAGTTCAAATTATTAAAATTTGAACTGAGTTTTTACAAACTACACTGACAGCACTGAAAATTCCGATTTTTTAAGCTAGAGATCTGCTTGGCTCGGGTAATGAACGCGTAAAATATTACTCGCTCGTGACTCGAATTAATCCGAACACGAAATCTTGCGCTGCACTTACAAAATTGGAACTCGTGCTCTTATTGCGTATATGCGAATAGTTCTGAATTTCTATTTTGAGACAGCTCTTGCAACAATGAATAGAGCAAAAAGTGCAGTGCAAGAGGCGCAAAACACATAAATAAGTACACTAAAGAAATGCAGTTCGAAAAATGTGAGGCAACTAAAGTAAAGTAAAAAGTGTACATTTCGCACCAATTCAAAAGTCAAGATTTTATTTTATCGCAAATACTCTCTAAATAAGACACTTTTAATTCTGGCTCAGGATTAAATCCCAGAACTCTCATCAGTCTTTTGTTGAATTATCAGAACTAATTTGAAATCACTCCGGAACCTATTCTAATTAAACAAAAAGCTGTAATGGCATTTTCAATTAACTAGAACTAACTTTGAGCAACTTAAAAGTTCAGTTGCACTGTAAAAGAGAGCGAAATTAGAGGCGGTTCTACCCACTTGAACCTCGCTGAAAGTACAGTACTGAAAAAAACAGCAGTGCAAAGTAGAAAGTGTAGAGCAGATCTGTACTAGATCAATTTTCTAGAATTAGGAAAACTATAGTTTAGAAACGATCTGGAGCCAATTTTTGTTGAACTATGAACACTATAGTGTCAGATTAGGTATACATTTTTGAAGGGCACGTGACTTCTTTCTCATTCAAATTCTCAAGAGTAGATCTAGTTTTATAAAATATTAGCTTGGTTCGCGGATCGTTTTATTTAGAACCCAGTCGTGGAGTAGTATAAACCAGAACAGGAACCGCAAACTCGGAACTCATCAACTCTGGATTAAAGCCGTAGAATCAATTAAACTAGTTTAAAAAAAGCCGATTCGGAACTGATTCTGGATTGAACCACGACCATAATTTTAGTGCAATAAATTAAATATTATTTGAGTCCATTAAAAGGCTGTTTGAATTTATTTAATCGGAGCTACACGAATCCCAAATATTTTGCACTCAGTTCAAGTTAGTGCAGCAAAAGCAAACCTAATCGAGCAACATAGAATTCGTTCAAAAATGTCGGTTGGAACTGCACTAGAACTATTTGTCAACGACACTGGTTATTGTGGCGCCATCTATTAGTGAACGTCAAAAAAATTACAGTCGCCATTTTTTAGCAACGCCATGTTGAAAAATATATTCGTAATGAAATCGTAACGGATTTTGAAATATTTATAGTGAAAATGTTACTCCTACAGTGGCTAAATAAACCTTTACATACAGTCCTTGCGTTCGGTATTTTGCTCGAAGAGCAGAGCGTGCAGAGCGGAGCCGTAACCACGTGACCAGCGAGCGAACAGAGCAGTTGAACGCTGTATAAAAGTGCCAGAAATTTTAATAAACGAACGCGAATGAGGATACACCGAGTACACTTTTTGAATAAACGAACGGTAAAGTCAAGCTCGGAGAACTCAGACCAAAATAACGAACGCACGGAGTGGCGACAATAGAGTTCTCGCCGCCATCTTGTTCCCAACCTCCTGTTACTTTCAAATATTAATATATAAGATTTAAATAGACATCTATCATAAAAAATTAAAATCGGCATATTTGATGACCATTATTAGGTTCATCAATTACGTTGTTTTCCATGTTTTATGATGGATGTTCACCTAAATCCTATATATTCATATTTAAAAGTAACAAGAGGTTGGGAACAAGATGGCGGCATTTTCAATATAAACATATGGGATTTTTGAACCAATCAAAAATGAGACCGCAATTGTCGCCACTGTGGTAATAAAGTCACTGTAGTTACTCCAAGCGCGCACTAAGAAGTTTTTCTTTAAAAAATCCATCCAGGTAGGTACACATAACTATTATTGTTTAATACTTATAATTGGTATTTTGCCTTAAACCTAAAAGTGGAATATTCACAGTCTAACTACAAATAATTTGTTCATAGAATGAGCTTAGGATTACATGATACAAAAATAAATTCTCATTTTCATTTGCACTCTCCTCTACTTAATGGGAATGTAATAATCGAAAATGCATTGATATAATACTTAGGGCTAAATTATGGACCAACTGGTAAGTGTCTGGTTGTTACCTAGCAGTTACTTTCTATTATCTAGCTAGAGCATAGAAAGTACTTGCTAGGTAACAACCAAAAGTTTAACAGTGAGTCCATAATTTGGCCCTTAATAAATTAAAAAGGAAACTCTGAACTAGAAGATCTTATTAATTAAATTAAAGCAGAGATTGTTCTAGCATTATTTTATCAAATCCTGACGGAGGTGGATAACTGAAATTCTCTAAAATTATGTCTAGAATTGCCCCATCGTCAACTAGAAAAAAAAAAACAAAATTAATAACAAATATTTTGTACTCAAAATTACTCACCATACAAGGCAGGATAAGTAGTCCCTTTAATATTCGATATGCAATAATCAATTTCAACCCCATTTACATAAAACCTCAATTGAATATGATCAAAAGCCACCCCGATAATGTCGCCCTCTTGGATACTTTGCAACCCTTCATCTGGATTTCCAGAAATACTCAACTTATGCAACTCTTGCTTGTTGTGCCTAAAAATATGGTCGCTGCACAGCGTCCAGGAATAATCGTCCATACCCCCAACAGTCAAACTCAAATCCGTTTGCCTCGTAGCTAAGCCCACTGACCAAGACCCCCCTTGTTGCACTTTAACTTCAAAGTAAGACTTTGACTGGACTAAAGGGGCATTGCCTAGTACGGCTCCTGCTCCGCAGACTCGCTGGCCCCCTTTTACTATCACAACTTCGTATCCTAAAAGAAAAATCATTAAAAAAATCACAGAAAAAGGGGACAGATTTTTTGTACCCATGTAAGAAGTGTCTAACTGAATGGGGTTGGGTTTGGGCAAGTGCTGAGTAGGCGGGTTAAAGTTGAAACCGTCCAGACAGCCTTTTAGGCAACAAAATACTGAGACTGACATTATTTATTGTTTTTGCTAGAGGATTGTAAACAAATCGACATAACCTCAAATTGTATTGTCAACGTCATTATTGACTAGAGAGGCACGTAGTGATGTTACTTGAACATCGATGTTATATTCGATCAAATTTCATTTGAAAACGTAAAAAATCCCTCGTGTATTGTATTACCGATAAATTTTCAAAAAGCCACGTTGTCACATTTCTCATTTTGACTAGAAACAAAAGTTTCATTTTTCAACACCAACATCAGGGTCTTTATTCTTGAAACAGGGGAGCACTGTTCCCAGGAGAACGAGTTCTCCGTCTTTGTTACTTATATTATCATTTGCATATCATTGAGAAAGACAGAACACTCGTTTTCCTGGAAACGCTGCTTCCTACTTTCAAGAATAAGGACCCTGAGGTGAGTACCTTTTTGAATACTTACTTGAAATGAACTTTGATATTTACAATAAAGGGAATACACCCACTTTTGTAATAAGGGCTAGGGAGGAGTATTAGACATTACATTTGGTAGTTCTGAAATAAAGAGCTACGTGAAAAACTGGAGGGTCTCGGCTGAACCCCTCCCTGTCTGTTCACAGGATCATTGAGTTCAACCTAGAAATAAGTACCTCCAAAACAAAAAAGGAGAAATCCTAGGTGAACAAACTGGGAATTATACGGAGTCAATCTGGAGGAAAATCTCAAAACAGTCAACCCAGGAAGAATAGGAAATCACCTAGAACTGGAAGAGAAAGTAGGGCTCGTGAACTAGGTAGTAATAGAGACCTTTGACTCTAGCTGCCACATGGTTTCGAAAGAACGCTCGAGTGTGGCCCCATGGTGGAATGCAAAGCTGGCACGCCTCCGGACCCAGGCTCAGTGTTTATGCAACACAGCCAGGAGAACCAGAAAATGGCAGCGGTACACAGAGGCCCTCACAGAATACAACAAAGAAATCAGAAAGGCAAAAAGAAACAACTTTAGGACTTTCTATGAAAACATCTCCCCGACTCCAGTAGCCGCTAGACTGCACAAGGCAATGGCCAAAGAGGGAGCGTGTTTAACAATGGCTCTTAAGAAGCCAGATGTTACCTACACGGAAGGTGAAGAAGAGCGTGCGCTCCTTCTTTTAAGCAAACACTTCCCAGGCAGCAAACGTACAAACAGAAGTGGGGAAAGTTCATACCCCAGACGCCCTACAAAGGAGGACTGGGAAATAGCAAAAGTAGTACTCACCAATAAGTGGCTCGAATGGGCATTGAACACATTCGAAACTCTGAAATCGTCAGGAGTGGACGAGATCTTTCCAGCACTCCTACAAAGAAGAAAAACAAAGATCATGACGCACCTTGTAGATATAACCAGAAGCAGCATGGCAATGGGATATATACCTCAAATATGGAGAAGGGCAAGAGTACTTTCATTCCGAAGGTAGGCAAGAAGGATGGGACAGAGCCCAGATACTTCAGACCAATAAGCCTCACATCGTTTCTTTTAAAGACAATGGAGAAGGCAGTAGATAGCTATATCAGACTCACTACATTGGAAAGGCGGCCGTTGAACGCGAGTCAGCACGCCTACAGAGCAGGTAGATCCACTGAGACAGCTCTTCTGCTCTAACTGACGAGTAGAATACAAGAATCTTTTGAAGGGAAAGAAGTCGCACTGTGCGCTTTCCTAGACATCGCTGGCGCTTTCGACAACACATCCCATGTGGCCATTCGACACAATATCCCGATGGATATGTAGGATGCTTGCTACAAGGACAGCAGAGACTTCAGTAGGCACCAAGTCTATTGAGAGGAGCACCACTAGAGGCACTCCCCAAGGCGGAGTATGCTCACCCCTGATGTGGATCTTGGTGGTGGACGAACTGCTAGAAATACTGAACAACCTGGGCCTGGACTGCGTTGGGTATGCCGATGACATCGACATCATGGCAAGAGGAAAGTTCGAGGGCATCCTGTGTGAACTCATATAGACCGGACTTAAAGCAACGGAGGATTGGTGTAAAACAGTGGGACTGACCCATCGAAAACCACTGTAGTGCCTTTCACTAGGAAGAGAGAACTTTCTAGAATGAAGGATATCCGGATACACGGAACTATCATAATACCGGCATCGGAAGTCAGATATTTCGGCATAACGCTGAACCGCAAACTCAGATGGAATAAACACATCGAGGGAGCTGTAATCAGGGCTACGAGGGCTCTCATGGTGTGCCGAAGCCCCGCGGGCAAATCCTGGGGATGCAACCAGGGATCCTGGGATGAATGTACACGATGATAGCGAGACCAGCTCTACTATACATAAAATCAGCTTTCAAAAAACTACAGCGTCTGGCCTGCACATGCATTACAGGCGCAATGAGAACTTGTCCCACAGCAGCCATCGAGAAAATTATAGGTCTCGCACCTCTTCACATTGTGGCGGAGGGGGCTGCCAGACGAGCAATAACCAGAATCACGAGGGAAGGAACTGTCGAGGGAGGTTGGCTAAGCTTATTCCGCTCCTCGAGTTCCCCAGGGATCATATGACTAAAACAAGGCAAGAGAAGCAATAATTTTATGCAATAATGAGTATTGTGGCGCAATTTGGCGCGTATTTTTTTGTGTTTGGATACTGTTTTTGCTATTTTTGGTGTTGTGTTTGATAAATTAGCAGAGAAAATAGGAAGAAAAACCCTGACCATGCAATCACTGTATTGGGAATCCTCCACTATGCGATGAGTGTGTTGATGCCTGGTATGTCCAAATGCTGCTCTGTTATAATTTAAATAATTATCATCATCTTTCTTTTGTTCCTTTAATAATAGTATATTAAAGTATAAGTGGATATTAAAAGGTCTTTAGAACACGCGCGATTTTTCGAGCACGACGGCGCAGCTGGAGTGCTCGAAATAGAGCAAGTGTTTTAAAGACCAGTTATCCACGAATACTTTACACCATTTTTTTTTATTGGTACCTATAGGTTCAAATCAAAAATTACTAATAATTGTGAAATGCTAAATTCGTTGACACTTGCTATATTTTACTTGACGTTGTCTACAAGTACCTACTCCTGACAAATCAATAATTAAAAAGTTGACAATTAAACCTTTCTCGGGTTGTTGGTTGTCGATGGTTGTCATTGGTAACTTTAAAACACGGGCGTTTTTGAATGTTGGATTTAAACACGCTGAGGAATACTTTAAATAAGTGAAATAGGTTATCAATAAAAAAAAAGATTTGATTTATCTGATCAAGAAACTATTGATTTAATTTTAAAAAAATTGCGGTATTTCCCGCAAGTGACAAACTACGCACAATATGGTTTTTAAATGGACATGACGTCATATGACGTTGACATTTTTATGATTTATGTTGAAAGTACTGATCAAAAGACCACTTTCGGTACAAATTAAGTTAATTTATTTTAAAAATTGGCATGCGATTATACACTGTCACCTATAATTTTGGTGTCATTTCTCACAATGAAAGTCTGACGTCAAATGCCGCGGGTGTCCGTCAACGTGTTAATATTTTCAGTACCTAGTAGAGAAAATTTTGTGCGTGTGTAAAGCCCTTTTACTCACTCATGTGATTGTGTGAGAAAACCTTCAATTTACACACTTTTTATATAGCTATTCTAGTGGATACCTTGCTTACATTGATGTTTTAATGGTATAACTTTTATAACAGTATAAAGACCTATAAATAAACGCTATGATCATGTTATGGTTTTTGCTGTGCTGTTAAACTAAAACTAATGTAATGTTTTTTCCTTTCAATGTTTTTTCACAAGGGTTCCTACTTCGTTTACTAGATGGCGCTTGAAAACGTGGATATGTGGCGTCATTGTTCCGCGAGTCCGTGTGGTTGTGTTCAACCCTGGATGGCTCAACTATTGTGTACAACCCTGGCGGCCTGACGTGACGTGACAGAAGACAGCTGTCCCAGGTTGTTGCCGCGCAATTATGATATCGTGTTGTTGTTAACAAAATAAAGTATTTCGATTTATTTGTATGTTCAGTGCCCAGAATTAAACCGAGTTATTAGTAAAACAGTGTTTTCATTCGCTGGTGATATATCAAGCAAACACATAGCAGTAGTAGCTATAACTGGTGACCCCGACGTGATATATCTCCGCGTACCACTCGGCCTCTAACCTAAAAGACGTGTCTGACTACTAAAAAAATCAAGATGCAAAGCAATTTCGACTCCTCAGTAGATCCTGATCAGCAATTGGCTGCAAACAGCTCTTTTACCAACCAGCAACCAGACAGGAGTTCGTCAGTGAGTATTCCTATGCCTCAACCTTCTGGCCCTCACGGCAGTACAGCATTTGATCCCGCGGTGCATTTTAATCCAACAAATCACCCGGTGAGCTATCAGCAAGCATATGCCCAACCAGTAGTAAATTCGTTGCCAGCCCCCATGATGCTCAACCAGCAGCAGAGTTATGCCATTGACGCAGTTTACAACTGCAATCTGCCACCCTTTTGGCGTTCTCATCCAGACCTATGGTTCCTGCAGATTGAATCAGTCTTTCAAGCCCACCGTATACAGTCCGATAGCACCAAGTACTATCAATTGGTAAAATCACTGGACCCGGACACAATCACGGAAGTTGCAGACATCTTGAAGGCTCCACCACCTCAAGATAAGTACCAAAATCTCAAGTCTAACCTAATAAGTAGACTAACAGCCTCCGAAGACTCTCAGATGCACAAACTGCTCACTGATCTAGAACTAGGTGACCGAAAACCCTCACAGTTGCTTCGTGAAATGCGAGCCCTTGCCGGCAATCGTGCTACAGAAGACGTGCTCCGCATACGATGGCTGGCCCTTCTGCCTGTCAGCATTC